TTTTCAGAGGAATCGAAGGGAGATGGAAATCCATCCACGTTACTTTTCAAAGGAACATTCCCATTATTTACTTCGAATTAACTAACGCAACGAGTGTGTACGCCATCTTGTAAGCGCGATTTGTTCAAGGAGGAGGCATCTCACGCGAGAAGATGCATGTCCAAGAGGCATTTCGCAGCCGACGTGACCGGGCCTATCGTAGCTCGCGATCGTTCCTGGAAATTTAATAGACACGTCCCGCGGTTGTATCCTTGATCCTCGGACGACGATACGGGCGAGGACTTCGTGCGATTCGAGATAACGTAAAAAGGGGATAAAAGGGGCCACACCTTTCGGTAGCGGTTAGATAGCTACCTGCCAGCTTTTTGTCCCTCCTCCTTCTCCTCCTTCTCCTCTTCTTCTTCTTCTTCTTGTACTTTCGCCGGCAACGAATTGTCCTTACTATTTCTTTGCAGAGAGAGAAAGAGAGAGGGAGGGAGGGAGGCGCGATGGACTCGCGTGTCGGGCTAGTTGGTTCTTGATAACGTTGCTATACGTATTTGTTGTTGGAAGTAGGTTGATCGATATGGCGTCTTTTGAATATTCTTTCACGATTATTTTTTCTAAATATATAAATATATAAAAAGGAATTGAGAAAGGGGGAAAAAAAGTTCGAATATTATCTTGACAAGTTACGAGAACAAGAATTTAATATTGTAGACGAATAATTGTAAATTGTATTGGATTGGAAATATTTTAATATTTCTTAGAATATTTATAACACATTTTATAATTGATCATAAAAATACAATTCGTTCTCGGAAAAACGAAGAAAGGAACACTTTAAAATTTTTCACCCATGCAAATCCAATATCGATCGAACCGAAACAATTTCTTATCGACGATCGATAATCGTCAAAAATAATTCATTCGATGAGTTGGGTTAAATTTTTGATCCACTTTTTCTACGTATTTCTCGCAAGTTCAGCAAGTATAGGGGAAGCCATAACCGGAGAACAAGCCCGCATCGCGAGGGTTAATTAATTGGTTGGATTCCCGTATGCCGGCAACCGTTGGCTTCGTAGCATCGATCGAATTGCGACTTGTCGAATTAAATCGCAGACAAGGTACAGAGGAAATTACACGCGTCCACGGCCACCGTGAATTCACCGAATTTCACTTTGATATATCGGCTATGGCCTTCTGATTATTCATCTGTCATCATCGTGATTAGCCGGATGAAGATCAATACGATCTCGTTATATTTTTTATCAGTTGCACCTGAATTTAATATCGAGTATCAAAATTGGCCGCGTCGCTGGATTCAACCATAGAAATCTATCATTGAGCATTATATCGGAATATCAGAGTATTTTTGGCTTGGTAGAGATATGAGATTTGATGGATTCGTGAAAATTAAATTTTTTGATAGGATTACCGTCCGTCTTAAAATTGTGAAATGTGATCAGAAGAGAGAAGAATTAGAAAAATGAAACATTCGTTTGTAATGAATATCGAATTATCATTGAATTATCTGTTTTGGGATAATTTAAGTCTTAAGAATACTTAGTTAATTTATCATCGAATTCGAACGTATTAAACAAGTAAATTAGAATGATTTAAATATGGGAGAAAAAATTTCGAAAAATTTCAAAAAGATTTCAATTTTAATAAAATAAGATTCATTATAAAACGTAATCAAAGAGAAGAATTAGAAAAATGAAATATTCATTCGTACTCGAACGTTAAATTCTCTGTTTTTGGATAATTTAAATCTTAAAAAGATTTAATCGATTTATCATCGAATTCGAACAATATTAAACAAGTAAATTAAGAATAATCTAAATCTGGAAGGAAAAATTTCGAGAAGACTTCAATTTTTTTTTTTCAACCTAATCTAAATTCCAATAGAATCTCAATCCAAAATACCAAAATTAAAATCAAAATCAAATTATTATCGAATTCGAAGATCAAACGTTTAATCCTAGAATTATAAACGTTCCAATTAATCCCAAGATGATTTGTCCAATTAATTGTTACATATATAATCACTGGAAACCAGACTCGGAATACGCCTAAATTAAATTAAATTAAATACGATTTGAAAGGAAGGCGGCAGGTGCGGGAG